TATATATATATATATGTTTTTCTCTTCTCTTCTCGTATATATAAAAGTTGCACCTGAATAGATTCGATGCCACTGTCGTTGACGTTTTCCTGCACGTCTGGGAACACAAAAGCTTGAGCCTGATCGTCGGCCTCGGCTCTGGGCGAGTCGCTGGGCCATATCTGAAGAAGGGGAAGCCCACCGCGTGTCTCGTTGCAGATCTCGGCAACGACAACGTTGCTTGTCGATCCCCCGGTATTGAGGCACAAACCCAGCTCTCTCAGTGGCTTCTGCTAAACGATGTTTAATTCTTAATCACTCGAGGTACGTCAAGCTCTCACGATTAGTATCTCTCTCGTACAATGAAAATTTAATCTTTCCTGCTCGCTTTTCACATAATTGAGATTATAAATTCAGATAAAGTCAGTATAAATTCAAATTTGTCCAAGAAATTTTTTATATCGAAACGTAATGCATTCTTGGAGAATGATGTTGAGTGCAAGTCTAGGTAAAACGAGATTTAAATTTCCTTTTGTTCGTAACATATGCACTTGAAACTGTATCGCCATTGAATTATTATGAGACCCGTATCGCGCAACGCGAGTAAAAAACTTCTTGCGACTTTTAGTTACTCGCTGACTTTCGATAACAAATTACGTTACCGTTAGAAACTTGGTAATATCGTCGTGGCACGAGACAAACATTTTCTGCATTAGCGACACATAAAAGGTCCTTCACAGCTGGATATTAACATATTAAATATTAAAAAGAAATATTTTTAGTCACGGTCGCGTTTCAAGAATGGCTTAATCGATGCGATACTCGCAAGCGAAATTCATTGAGCGAAACTTTATTTCCAATTTCAACGATGTTTAAGAAAAGATAATAAAAATAACGCAGTGGGATCCTCTCTCGCGTGCAGATTTTTTTTAAATTAAAATGGAGATAAATACTTATCTTTATATATTTGATAATGAAACATCGGATCTTATGTTATTACATAAACGGAGCACAGATTTTATAATTGCTGCTGTGAAGTAGTGATAAATCGGAATTTCCGCGTTATTATTAACAAGTTTGTCACGAAATGTCGTGCTCGTGTATATTTATCGATCATTTATAATACCATAAAATGTAGCTTTGACGTCATATCGGTAACCGTATATAACTAATATATAATTACAGCTGAGATCTCAGTAAACTTTGAAGAATCTCGTAATTCCTTAGGAAATTAAGATCGTGATTAATGGATTAGGTTTTGTTGGGTTGCTAAATAAAAGCTCCGTAAAATATATCGCGCGACCATGAACTGTTCGTAAATAACGCACTAATCTTTTATTAATATTATAGCACAATCTCTAGAATAACTAATGTCACAATGCGCGCGCGATTTGTCTTTAGAGGAGAGAAAATGTCACACGCTTAAAGCACAAAAAATGGTCCAACCGTTTCCAATCTACAGAATGACATCATTCTATATCAGTCTAATTATACATTATATATGTTTTATATCGATTATATTAATTATTTTTAATTTTAATTAAATATCAACAATAAAATTACATAATCTTTTAAATATACCATTCTTCCTTATTATAAATATTTCCATCTGTTGAAAATGTAAGAATATAAATATAATGAATAATCTGTTGTAAAACAAATAATTATTAAATAAATCATAGAACAATTTTTCATATTTAATAATTACTTCAATTATAAAAACTTCTCTAATAATAAGTCACTAAGAGCCCTCTTGAATTAAAGATACTATTTCAACTAATATCCTTCCAAAATTTCCTATACTAAAAATTATTAAACGTTATGATTAAGTCATTAAAGTTTAGCAAAATAAGATGCTAAGTACAATCTAAGATGTTATCCATTTCTCGGTTCGTAATTTCTCAATGGATTGTTATTCTTGCTCTTGTTCGTGTCTCACCTTCGGCCTTTTCGCACCGGAGCCTATTCGTCGTAAGAGCTCCCTATCCGTCGATCGAACGATCTGATTTTATTAAGCCTGCGACGGTGGACAAGCGTGGATAATAATAATACATGGTTTAAAGTTCAAAATGTCGTCGTCGTCGTCGTCGTCGTGAGAGAATCGTAGTCACGCAGGAAGCCGCTCGTCCACCGACCGACAAGCCGTAACCGGAGGAGGGATAAACGGCTCGCTGGTTTCCGGTGCGGCGAGCTTGCAAAGGTCGCTCCGCTGTACAAAAAAGCGTCGGGAAAAGACGACAGGCCGCAGAAGCAATGCGAAACAGATCGATAAGGCACGAGCGAATGAAAATGCGTTGTGTCGGGGAAAAAACGCGTAACTCGTCACGAAATCCGGCTTTGTCTCTTTCTCTTTCTCTCTAATTTTGTGTGCCAGAAAACTTTGCATGCGTACCAATAACGGAGTCGTAGTTAACGCTACTTGAACGGAAATGACGATATTAATAATTTCTGCGCTTTTAGCGAGAGAATATTATATCAAAGGATTATTTTTAAATGCGCATAATTAAATCTATCTGAAATTGATATTTGCGATACATCACATATTTTTATATTTATATTATCACTATAATGTCAACGTAACAATAGAATTTAATCACGCTCACGAGACAAATTTTTTCGACAAAGCAAACTTATAAAATATGGACCGAAAGTGCCTAGGTAAAAAATCGAGACACTTTGAAATATTCACTTGTTGTAAAACAATCATACAAGTAATGCTATATATAATTCACTCTTTGAATGTATTTTTCACCGAATAAAAAAAAAAGACTGATTTGACAGAAAATGAAGGTAGCACCAAAGGAGTTGGCCAAAGAAGAACACGAAACAGATCGATAGTGCGTGAGCAGGAAGTGTGTCGGCGATATAACTAGAAGGTCGTAACTGAAATACTATCGAGAAAGCAAAATGAGACACGAAATTTATAATTACTTCGCTTCATCAATAGGCGAGAGGAGTAAAAGAAAAAAACAATAGCTGCTAATTAGCAGAAAATATTTTTCTGAAAACGCGCGAAAAGAAAAATGTTCCCCCTTCGATTCTTATTCCATCTTTTAATATTTGTGAAAAAATTTAACATTTCTTCCTTCTCATTGCTTGACGGAATAATCTCGAGTCACGCTAAAGGACACGATGAGGGGAATGCACGATACGGAATCAGATCGATAACGCAAAGATCCTCTTTTTTAAGAGTGTAAACTCGTTTCCACAATGACAGAAAAGAATTTGCAAACGCGATATCCTCTCCATCAATAGTAAAAATTGATCGTCAAAATCACCGCGCGAGAAAACGCGTTAAACCGGATCGAAAAGGAGCTTGTTCTCTCTTTGGAAAACTTCCGTCACATTTGCATGGCATTGGCTTTTTCTGTCGCTCCAACGAACCGACAGACAGATACGAGAAACGCGGTGCGAATAAAACGAGCATTACTTTAGCATATTGTCGCGTTTAAGCTCCGGATATATTGTAAAAGCTTTCGAGACGCGAGTCTTTGGCGGCGTTCCAAATTGACCGGCAGAAAATCTCGCAATAAAACTCAAGAATGGTAGAAAATGCGTAATATCTATACGGGGTATAGACTCGCGGAAAGCTTCCTTTCATCCTTACTTTGATCAATTTGAACGCGGAGTCGAGAAGTCTGCAGTCGAAAGGATGTCCCGCGAATCCCCTCGGAATATCCTGTCTGTGCTCTCGAAAAGTTCGCGAATTTTGACGTTTGGATAATATTCTTGTCGGTCCTAGAAGCGTGAAAACTTGGAAAGTCACTCGCTGCTTTCTGTGCGCTTCGAGTCGAACAACCTTGCCAGCGAAGTTAATGCAAATTGTATCGCGCGTCTGCTCCGGAAGCTGCGTCTCACGAATCTCGCAATGCATTTTTCACGATTTAATCTACGCGCGACGGTAAAAAAAAAAAATATTATTCCATCACGCTATTCTCGTCGCGATTAAAATCTTCGTTCCGACCTTTCTAATAATTTGCAACACCTTCAGAGAATTTACATACTCGCGAACTCGCTAAGTGCTTATTTCATTGAATGATATCGCGTGCATGTTAGTTTTCATGAACGTATCTATCAATTTTTCAATTTATTAATACTTCACTTTCTGATGTCTATTTGATTAAAAACGTTTTACAGAAGGAATCTCATATAAATCTTAATAAGATTCTCCCCATCTAAAAGATCATTAAAAGCGAATTATGACGATAGAACTATCGACTAGAAACGCAAAAAGACAGCCGATAATTATACCGGGATAGGACACTGATAGCAACATAATGGCGTAAAGAGACACGTTTGTTCGTGACCATGACTGTAAGATCTTGTCTTCCTGTTTAGCCTTGGCACGAGGCGGTCGATGAAGGCAAAGAAAAAAAAAGCAGGGACATCGTTTTCCTGGCATGATGCCTGTGTTGACTAAATGAAAAGACCCTTGTGCTCCGAATCGCATATTATAGTTTCCGACACTTTACACACATGTATTTACCGCGTACGGAAATGTTTCCCCAAACGACGGAGAAGCGCGGCCATCTCGCAAATCGCATCTGACGAATGAATCCTCATTTATTACAATAAAGTTGATTCTGATCTCAACACAAAGCTATTTTATAAAATGTCAGAAAGAATACGTGATTTATATTTTTTAGCTCGATAATTTTGTAATATTTTTATAATTTTATGTGTAGCTGTTTTTTTTTTGTTAATTATAAAGATGGATAAATTAGAATAATAAGAAAAATTGATAGACGAAAAGTAATAAATAAAATGTAATAGAGATATAATATGAAGAGGGTTTGTTGCGTAAAATAAACCCCAAACCGCTATCAACCCCTGAAACTTCTCGGCAGTTTTAGGTCGGCACGTCTCTCGTAAACTGAATCCAACAAGTTTATATAACGGTCATCCCCGTGTAATCTAATTCAATCTACGAGGGAGTATCGTAGAATATATATTTCGGGTACATAATAAAAACGTGGTAAAAGTGGAAAGACGAAAAATATAACGAAGTATATTTATTTGAGAGATACGTGCCTTTTTCAGATGCGAAAAAGTGAGCGATCTATATGAATAAAATATAGTTAGGCAATTGATTCGAAAAACATGATATGAAAACATGTACCTAGAATGTTAAATTTTCTTTAATAATAGATATTGTTTGTATATCTTTTCGGGCAATACCAACTATTTGCGATGCAGCAGCGATGGAATACAGATTGCATAGGACGGGATTCCGACCCACCTGTATGCTTCCCACACTCGTTGACTTTCGATAACGGACGTGATAAATTCTCAAACACAAGAGAAATAATCTACGTCTCTTTTTTTAATTTATGTAACACTGAGAGCAATCTACGCACTTGTTCTTAAAACATTATACAACGCGACAATAAAATAATCACGAGATAATTTCACAAAATATATCGCGAATCGTCACACATAAGAAATCAGTTCACTCTCTTCGGTCGCGCTTGCAACGATCGATGAGCCCATCTGCGCGTACACTCTCATAAATCACAACCCCTTATAAATCATGATCGAATCGCAAGGAAAGATCTCGTTAAATCACTCCGTGATGACCCCTTCGTTCGAAAAAGGGGAAAGAAAAAAAGAAATAAATGAGCGCGACACGATCGATCCTACCTGCATGCTTCTGATCACATGCCAGAAGATCCCGGCACGATCCTCCGAGGCGTCCGTTTACTTGGTCCAGGATTACGACTTGGGCTCTCGGCGGCGACGGGGGCTCGGTTCTTCTCGGGATTTCAACTGCGACTGCGATCCGGCCGCGCGCGCGGCAGAACCGTGTGCTTCGCTCCGCGAGGATTGGCAGTCCGGCGGCTCTTCGGATGGAGAAGGGATGAGAAGAGCCAGGTGGAAAGCGAAGCGGGGGTTGTTTTCGCTCTGTGCCGGTCGGGGGTGAGAGCGACGGTGGTCCGTTTATCATCGCGCCGGGGCGATGAGCCGCGTCTTGGCAGGTGGGCACGAAGGTGGACAGACAGGTTGGATGTTTGGTCTCTCTCTCTCTCTCTCTCTCTCTCTCTCTCTCTCCCGCTCGATTGAATTTTTTAGTAAGAGCTTTCCGTGGGGAGGATAAGGAGCGCTCACCAACACGCATTTACCATCTCGTGCGTTTATTATTTCATTTCGTCTAATGCGTAAATCAATGACTCGTATTGGGTAAACCGCATTATTTTCAAAATGGACTTTCCTCTTTACGCGAAAAACTGAAAATATTAAAAAAATATTACGTACAATCATAAATAAAATTCACGCCTTGTTTGCTTTTTTTCTTTCTCTCTTGAATTATTTAGATTTTAAACGTCAAGTTCATTTTTCTTGAAGCTACATAAAACTATTTATGTAATTACCACGTTCAGTTTTGCAATTATAAACTTGATAAATATATTTTTCGAGAAAAATTAAAAAATTTGGTTAAATACATAATTTATTAAGATATATAATAACTTTAATATTAAAGGTAAATATCTCATTTTCGTACATTGAGATATAAATTTTCAATAGTTTTATTTTTCATCGGTTAATCGACTCCGTTATCTTTCTTGTAGCAGCCCATTTGATCAAACCGATTAATTATTAATCCACGATAACTGCAGCGTTCCGATTACATTTTGCCAATTAAACTAATTGTGTAGCTTGTAACAGACGGAAATACGAATGATCCAACGAATACTGTATTCTGATATATCTATCAGAAACTGGAGATTAAATCAACTACAATTCGTTTATATTGCCATCCTTATCGTCACGAAATAAGCTTTATGTCGACTCGAGTTTTTAAAAAACGTACACATCTAGTCGAGAAAAGTAAAGATACGTTAGAAGATATCTTAAGTCGGATTTAATGGGAATTTCGAAGAAAAAGATAGGGAAAAAGATCGAGCTTGTCGCTTTGGGAATGCGAAAAATGTAATCCTCTGCCGAGCACATATTGCATTAAAAAAGAAAAGAGAAGGATAGCTTATATTTCTATTGACTAAAAAGATAAGTATGGCAACATTCAGACAGGATACGGATAAAATCGGAGAACATAAAATAAAGAGAGATAAGAAACGAACATTATTAATACGATCAGAAGCGCGAAAAATTGCGACGGGTGACAAAGAAAATCAAAGAATCTGTCAAAACTGGCATCCGGAGAATAAAAACATGAACAAAACATCAAGGCCCTTCAGAATTTGGGACAGGTTTGAAAATATCTCTTGATTCTCGTACATGTACGAATTTCGTATCATGATAGATTGGATAGTAATTGCATAAAAGGCTGTTAAACGCTATCCTATATGCTTTAGCCGTCGCTCCTTCTGCCCGTCTTGACAACATGATGAAATTAACGTGGAAACGCGCGGAAAGCGTTTAGAAATGAAATACTCCAGAGAAAACACGGATGAGATAATAGAATACTCTTTGCACACATAAATGTAAGAGGAGACGAAGAGGAAACGCGCTCTATCTCCGGATAGACAGACATAATTTATTATGTCACGTAGAAGAATCTCGATGGATACTGGGTAAAAATAGTAATGCATCCTTACACTCACCGGAACGAAGGGTAACGGCCATTAATATTGTCGAGCGTACGATGGCGGGGTACAGAAGACGGATAGGGCTATACCGGACGAACGTGATCGTCCAGAAAAAAATAAAAATCGCGAAATAGAAGAGCGAAGAAGACGGCGCGGAGGAGAATGATGGGAGAATGGGAATTTCGAGGGAAAAAGATTCGCCGCGACGAGAGGGGAATGATTAGCGACAAATGCTAGGATCGTTTATCGAAAATGCAATGGGGCGGACGACGGGACGAGAGACTCTATCAATGTGTACATATTGACAGACGCCTTGCTTGTCGTATATATTCTTACAACGCGATACAGATGACAAGAAAAACTCGCGTCTCGCTCCGGTGTTAAGAAAACCGAAGGATCGTACGATCAGACAACCCTAATATCGATGCAATCGAATCACAATTCGCTCAACGTCTCGACGCCCGATTTCTCAGTCCATCGACTTCAATAAACGGTGAGACCCACGAGGTCGCTAGACTATCACGATACCAGGTGGTATCGAATCAGATGCACCTTGCTGGTCGCAGGGTGGAGCGGGACAAAGCGAGTCGCGGAGACGTAGGCGAGACAAGGACGCGGCCTTGCAACGAATAACAAACAGAGAGAGAGAGAGAGAGATTATGGTTACGCGCTCTAAAACGATAATAGGATCGAGCGGATTTTCGCAAGTGCTTAGCAAGCAAGATTTAGTAAGGCCATTCGGTCAACTGCGCGAATAAACTGCGCATTCCGCAAGATACATATGCACACGAAACTCACCGTTCCGTAAAACAGAATGCGAACCTCTGAATATTCAACGGTACGTAATACACTCCTAAAGGACTTCTATTTTCATTTGCTTCAATTACGAGAAATATAAATAATTCTGCCTTGAAAGGAGGAGTTGTCTCAAGGTACGATCTTCAAGGTACCTTCGAGAAATATCTCGATTAAATTCTCGCAGTTAAATTAAAAGAGAAGAAAAGGGGTAAAAAGAGAGAGAGAGAAAAAGAGTACACAATGTATATGTACAATGAAAAGTATATTATCAATTTTTTTGATTGGCAAAAGTTTATCGATTGTCACTATTCGCACATGCCATTGACATTGTTCGAATCCCTATGCTTTATGCAAGAGCGCTAACCATCGATCGATGAATTTAATCGCGAGACGACATTGTCAAAGAGCGCACTGTTTATTTAATCGTGACATTATATAAGAATTGTCACGCTATTACTTGTCGTTTCCCCCGAGAACTCGGAAATTTCATGAAATCCCGCTGCATCGTACGATGTGTCATGCAACTACCGTGGTCTGCCACTTTCGTGCCTTTCGCTTTGATTAATTCAGAAACTCCATTTTCAGATAATATCGCGTGTCTATGCAGCATAATTTCTGTGTATGTGTGTATAAGAACACGGATTAGCGACAAGATGCGACAGAAAATAATAGACAGAAAGTCGAAGGGGTGAATAAAAAATATGCACGTAATTGTTTTTCAACAAAAAAAAAGAACATCCGATAAAAATTCTAGAAAAGAAGTAGGATTTATGGGAATTGATTAATTATCGCATGAAGAATAATTTACTTCTAAATCAGTATCAAATCCAAGAAGAAAGATCTCTCCATGATCGATTCGTGATAATAACAACTTGTCCACGCGACACTCTTGCATCTATGATGCATGATTTATCCACGATTACCCGATTAGTTTACTCAGCAATTCCGCAAATTACACGTCTCATCTATGTATATATCATGTTTATCCTCGCTGTTTGAGTCGTTTTTTGCTTCGGACGCTTTGCGAAATAAATTCGTGAAAATCTATCGACCGTCTCGATCCTCGCTCGATCCTCAGAGATCGAGGGACACGATCGACAGGTGTGTTGGATCAACGAGAGATGGAGCCCACGGTATAACAAAGTGGCTCTACACAATGTATGTGAAATACAGCGGGCGCGAACGAGCGGCGGCGATGCCTTGGCCGCGGGCAGAGAAAGCTCTGCACCTCGAAGGCTTCGGTTGGCGGCGGCGCCTGGCTGCTGATTTTGCCTCCGACACACCGCGTACCGTTGCCTCGTCTTCGTTTCCTTTCACCGCCGTGGCATATGTCACGCCAGGGCCGCACCGATCCGAAGACTTGGTTTTTCGCAACGGGGATAAGGAACCGACGAAACTTGTCCAAGAACCGCTTCTACCGCGCCCAAAAATTGTCAACATTTCGCATTCGTCGATTGATGGTTCTGTAGTAAAAGTCTCTTCTTGCTTCTATGCTCTCGCAATCAATTTCTCGAAAATTTATGTCGCTAATGAAATTTAAAGTATATTCGAATCTTATTAAAGATCGCCGCGCGTAAATCAGTAGATTGAAAGCTGGCTATCTCCTTCAATATGTAAAATAATATTCTATAACGTTTTATGTATTTTTAGAAGGATTGAATTATATATCCTAATGATTTCTTCACGATTACTATACTCAGATGCCATTACCATTGACATTTCGTTTCACCCTTTCTTTATAGTCGTCCGCCGATCAATCGAGTCGACTATGCTCGCACTCGCTTCCAGTCCACGGCAAATTAATTTCGAATAAATCGTCGTCATTTGCGGCGATTGCCATCGATCTCGCGGATTTTTCTCGCTTCCGAAAGCACGCCGACGGTTCTCATTTGCCAAAGTCTCTTGACATTAATGATTACCGATGACGGGAGATCTTCCTCTCGAGAGGGGATCGAAGGATGGATCGCGTGGACGATCCGTTCGCTTTCTAACCGCGTCCCGAGGCGAAAAGCGAAGCGGTTGCAATTACGTGAATCATCGCTGCGCTTTAGAGATCGCAGCCGAGACCCGGGAAAACGTAACCTGCCGTTCGGGGGAAGGAAGAGGAGGTCGAGGATAAACGTGAACGCATCCTCGAGCGCTTCCTGCTCTCGCGATCGAACGAACAAGATCCTCGACTTTTCATCAAAACTATCGTAGAAAAACGCGTTTTCTCGTGACGATTTAGCGAAAGCGATGACGTATCTAGGGTTGGCGATGGGCTTTCATGTGGTCCATCGATTCGCGTATAATAAATCGAGATGAAGGAAATCATCGACGATAAGAATGCCATCAAGTCGTGTAATTGGACGGTAATAATGGCGCATCTCGGCGCCGCTTAGACGAAGAGGAAAACGGCATTTTGCACGGTCGTCGGGTTTCCTTTTTTCTTCATCTGGCAAAGGGCAAATTCCTGCGCCTGTTGATCCGCGATAGGTCTCGCTGAGCGGGGATGAAGCGGTGTAATGGTGCGTCGCGAGAAGAGCGTGTAAGGTCGGGAACGAAATGCGAGAGAGAGAGGTGAAGTAAACGAATATTATATCGCAAGGCCATTAATTTTAAAACGCACGCTGAACGTGCGTTAGGTCGAGACATACTTTCTAGCAGTTTCGCATTTGCTGTTCAGTGAACATTGTATCCACGATTGCGCCATACGAGAGAGGCGCGCGCGATTATGTTGCCGGAAAATGCGAAACGAAACCCAGAACCGGGTCATTTTTCTGTTCGAAGTCGCGAGACGACTGCGTATTATTTGCGAAAATTGCAAAAGTCATTTCTAATGCAATAAAAATCATTCAGTATATATATATATATATATATATATATATATATATATATATATATATAAAAGACAAAAAAAATAATGAGATATACAGTTGATTAATTTTATATTCTCTGAGTTGTACCAAATACAATTCTGTACGTACATTATCTGTGGTAATTATATGTCATCGCGGAAATGAGGCGTTATTGTAACTGCAATCATCACGCTTCCGCTATTGCCATATAATCATGTTCATGATGCACCGGAAACTAAAGTGACCTTCACGCTTCGCAAAATTTATAGCGGTTTAACAAGAGGCGTTTGAATTTTATAATATATATATATATATCAAAGGCAATTAAAATAATGAGTTGTACGCCTCAAAGTCTATCTTCCTTTCTCTTCTCTTTATTTTTGAAAGAAAAAGAACTATAAATGTATCTCGGTAGCGTTCGCGAATCACGTCGATCATCACTGTGGAATTTATGATTGGCAAAGGGCACATTCCCGAGTCCACGATGATTTTCTCGCCGAGTCATGGATTCGTAATGAAATGCGATCCAACGTCGGGATCCACGAAGAGATCATTCGCGAGCACGCTTGGCATTTACCTCGGGCGGTGACGATGGTGCAATAATGACGTGTGCGAAGAGTTGCGCGCCCAAAATGCCAAGCGAGCCCTTGCCCTCTCTCTCTCTCTCTCTCTCTCTCTCTCTGTCTTTTTCTTTCTTTTACTCTGACATTTGAAAAAAAATATCCGCGCAAACGATCATGCCCGCGGATGATTATGGCATTGTGTCGAGAGGCGGCGCCGGCTTTCGAGACACGATTGTGTCACGATGTTGTGATATTTCGATATATTCGGTTTATCATTTAAGCGGCGATCGCGACAATCTGGCCACAAACGAGACTGCATCCACGACTGTTTCACTTTCGACCGCAGATCAACCAAGACGACGACGATGATAGACGGCGCGGTGCAGCTCGACGATGAGTGTGTCTCTCTGTTTTGCGTAAAATATAATATCGTAAGGCAAAAGCAAAAGCGTCAACGATACGGCGCGATGCGGAATATTTATTCGCTTCATTTCGCGACGTTATGTAAAAATCTTAGATCATCGTAGAAAGCTGTTTGCAGGCAGATTTTCGCGGCTGTCGATCGATATAAACAAATATTATGTAAAACGATCGTTGGTGATAACATATTAATATCACGCACGACTTTCCATTAATTATGTTCGAAAACGTCTAGTTTTCTATGTAAACCTTACGTCTACTTTCATACCCGGTTCCATTCGCAACGTTATTTACGATATAAGCTATTTCACGTTATTTCACGAAAAATGCCAATAAAATAAAAAAGAAGAAAATGTTCACGATGCTATTTATATTAAACCCGATTATACAAATTCAAGGATAATTTAAATCGTAACGACTCATCGCTACGATAATTAAGAGACAGTTAAGCCTAAGGATCCCTGACTTCCCTCTCGAGGAAGCGATCTTCGCGGCTTAAAGCTGGTCAACTAGGAAGTATTAAGAATCCCATGCTCAAACTCGCGATGAAAGAGATAATTATCCATCATCATTTTTCCAACCGCGTCCGCAATCTCGACATTTCAATCGCGTCTTCGAGAGCGCTTGGTTCTCGAGAGCAATTTTTCCCTTCCTCTCTTAATCTCGCTTACCGAACTGCCGATCTATCGATGGAGGGTCGTTATTCTCGCGGCCTTGACAAACTTACGTCATCGATGTCTCTCGTCACTTTCTCATCTTGTCAGCGTAAACCCGCCCAAAATGTCAACGATGCACGTATGTATAATCGAGCGATAAAAAAATCCCGTAAATTAACCTTGTTTTATTCTCGTTCGGGGAAGATATCGAAATTTCAAATTTAAGGCGTGTATTTTAGAGAGATTTAAATATTAATTGTTATTGCCAATAAAGTTATCCTGATTCGTCGACTATACTAATTTTACAATGTTTCACGCGTCACTAGCTATACGTAGATGAACTTGCCACTTATAAAAGCATAACTATCAGTTTATCATTTCTATATCGTTTGCTATAAATTTCTGCATCGTTGAGCGTAATTTATGTTCCTTCAATTAACGGCGATGAAGAAAAAATCGACGAGGGCATACCGTATGGGAATTTTATGCGAACGCGTAGAGTCGCTAAGAGAATCGGGAAATAAGTTGCCACAGATACTTCTCTTTAAGTTCCTAGGTCGAGGTCATACGGCACAAACCTACCGCACCGACACACTAAAAGAATCGTTGTACCTTGTACTTTCCTACCACCGAGAAAGTATTGGCAAGTTGTTCTCCGTACCCCTTCTTATGAGCAAACGATTAATGATAGTCATAGATCAAAATATCTTCAAGGAGATATCTAGAGATTCATGCAGCTTCGCAGATGAATCTTCCGTCATGCTAGATAGACTTGTATGTGTTCTGTCGTTACAAATTTATACACTTCTATAATGTGTCTGACTATATTTGGATTATCAAAAATTATTACATCATCATCATTTCGGATGCGTTGTCGATCATGTATTGTTTTCAAAGCAACTGAGATATATTCGTATTAAATATCCAATAGCTAGCGACTAATCAGAGTATTTGAAAAAGCGTTGTTCAATAAAAGTGGAGAATTTGCATCTATCGTGGGGACAATAAGGTATCTCAAGTTCTTGCAGTATCTCGGAAAATCGATGGTTTCGATTCCTACATACCTGGATCGGCGGTGGCACCGTCTACGCGGGCAGAAATGCTCAAAGATGAGAAAGAGGGGACCCCGATCGCAGTAGGGACCGTGCCGTCGTGGTGGTGGCAATATAAGGCCCGACGAGAGGCGAGCCTCAGCCAGTCCATTGAGCGGTACCTACACCTTCAAGGTCCGTGTCCTTGAAGGCGTCCTCGATTTTTGTCCCGTGTGCAGTTACACGAAAAGAATCGCCGCGGTTCTCCCTTTTGCATCTGAGTCCCCCCTGCACTCTCCCTGTTTCTGAAACGACGAACAAGCACGTCGCCATTCCATCCCGCGATCAAGTACCCTTCCATCCCTCGCTGATCAGCAGCGTCGGGCAAATCGGTTGAGCGGGAGTGATTGAAGAAGTGAAGAGGTTTGGGTACAAGACGAAGAAGACGAAGAAGACGACAACGACGTCGAGGAGAAGAAGTCACATTTCCCGCCGAGGATCAACATGAGGTCCTCGCTGGTGCTGCTCCTGGTAGCAGCTTTTGTTCTTGCCGGTGAGTACCAGATTTCACTACCAGTTCGCTCGATGCCAAGATATCGACTTAACACGTCATGTATCGAATTTCGTGCGTGGCAGGGTACGCGAAAGTTCTACGAGCCTTTCCGGTCATGTGACGCGCGTGGGAGACGATTTTTCTCACGAATCTTACCCAGAACCATTTAACTCGAATTGATTTTTCCGCCGATCAAACGCGGTGATTTTTTTTCGCGCCTTCTGCATCATCTTCTGCATAAATCATCTAAGGATTGCTAAAAATCGCGTTGTACATGACCCGCAATCTTAAAAGAAAATACCGATAAAAATCTCTTGAATAGACGTATATTAATTAATTAATACTTGTATATAATAAATAAAAATATTTTTTATACTGAGAGAGATTAACTGTAAAAGATAATATACCAGACGCGAATTAATTGAGAAACATTTCAAATGTAACACAAATGGACACGTGAGAGTAGTGACAGAGTTATTCAAAATGGCGAAAGTGTCACTGCAATCTGGTCATTTGAGATTCCCTCGGTCTATACCTGTATCTTTGGCCATAAGAGTCTATAGTTGTCCTGTTTTTTTTTTTCCTTTTACATCATAATCAAGTGATTGTCACCTCTTGGTGATAAGAGAAATAATCTAATAGTCGATCGTCGGGACGACAAGTTGCATAAGAGATTAGAGCGTGAAAGCTCCTCGGTCCAGTCGGTCCCGGATAAGTGACGTCACTGCCGTGCCCCGGGCGTCTGAAAATAGTGCGAGTGGGGGCACAACTTTCCCCGTTTGTCACTCCACCATAAAGTCGTCTCGCAAGCCCGGGGGACCATCAGGACCAAATGTTTATCTGATACTGTTGATGACTATTTCTACAGATATTTAGAGAATACTAACAGGCGCCTCTAAGCCCAAACTTTATAATTAAGATATTAATTTATAATATTCTTTAAATTAGCAAAGTCAAACGCAAATGTTGTCCTTTTTCTTTTGTGCATTAGTTTTTTTTTTTTTTGTTTAAAGCATTGTAAAAGACCAAATTTTTTAACAAGCTTGTTAAAGCGCACGATTAAAAATTATTCGAGCAATATACTGTATAAAAATCTTGCGGAAGTACGATGCTTGGTCTCGATTTGGAACAATTTTATTAATCGTAATCACACATTTCTTTTGAAGAAACAGATTATCTCAATCTTTAATACAAAGTCTTTTGCAAATAACCATCGGTTGTTTCGAATAAATAATATAGATATGTGAATTGTATAGAAATTACGATAGTAGTAACTCGAGTACGGTACTACTTTAGTCGTTCTAAAAATTATAAATGAGACCAATAAGACCATGTACTTGCAACAAGGTATCTTAATGCTACAGCGATGATATCGCACGAATCTTGCTAATTTGCAGCCTATCAATCTATCAATGTTTCGATCTCAAACAAAGCTGACAGATATTTTTATGTCGCGTAATAAAATAATTATAAAATAGCTATTGCAATTATTTAGAAATAATTGTAAGTGTCATATATATATTAAAATGTAGTAGATTCTTAATATAAAAAAAAAAATCTACCTTCCTCCAAATTTATTTTATTAAAGGACATTTCTTAGAATTGAGAAATGTTGCCAAATTATTTGAATAATTAATTCCAGACAAGATAAAGTCTTTATCATACCGCAAACTCCACTGTCTATTTTCAGAGGGCTCGAACCGAGTTAAGCGACAAGAGGACAAGAAGGAGGAGAGCTTTGAGAACGAGATCTGCAAAGATAAGGATGCCGGCGAGTGGTTCAGATTGGTCGCCGGCGAGGGTGATAATTGCCGCGACGTTATTCAATGCACGAGTTCCGGTCTGCAGGCGATCAGATGCCCGGCCGGTTTATACTTCGACATCGACAAGCAGACGTGCGATTGGAAAGACTCTGTCAACAACTGCAAACTGAAGAACAAGGAGAGAAAGGCCAAGCCCCTGCTCTACACCGAGGAACCGCTTTGCCAAGATGGTTATCTCGCGTGCGGCGACGGATCTTGCATCGAGAGAGGTCTTTTCTGTAACGGCGAGAAGGATTGCACGGACGGCTCCGACGAGAACATTTGCGGTAAGTTTACACAAAATTGTATATAAGTGTTACTTTATTCGCGCAAAGCAGG